TAGTAGCAATATATGTTGATGATATGAACATAGTTGGAACCCCTGAAGAGCTTAATAAAAATGCTGAATATCTGGAAAGAGAATTTGAAATGAAAGACCTTGGGAAAACAAAATATTGTCTCGGCCTGTAAATCGAGCATTGTGCTAGTGGAATTTTGGTCCATCAATCAGCTTACATTGAAAAAATCCTGAAGCGATTTGGCATGGACAAGGCTTATCCATTCAGTATGCCAATGGTCATTCATTCTTTAGACATTAAGAAAGATCCATTACATCCAAAAGAAGATGACGAAATGGTCTTTGGTGCAGAAGTACCATATATGAGTACAATAGGTGTTTTATTGTATTTAGCACAATGTATTATATTATATATAACTTTTTCAGTTAACTTGTTAGCGAGGTATAGCTTTGCTCCAACAATTCATCATTGGAAAGAAGTCAAAGATGTTTTGCGATACCTTCGTGGGACAATGGACATGAGTCTCTTCTACTTAAAAAAATCCACAAATGACCAAATCCTTGTTGGATATATAGATGCTGGTTTTCTCTCTGATCCACATAAAGCCTGCTCACAAACTGGATATGTGTTCACTAATGGAGATACAACAATGTTATGGCGCTCAACAAAGCAAACACTAGTTGCTACATCTTCAAATCACTTAGAAATACTTGCTTTACATGAACCAAGTCGTGAATGTTCTTGGTTAAGATCACTGATTCATCATATCTTGAATTCATGTGGTCTAACTTCAAAAATAGACACTCTAACTGTCATCCATGAAGATAATGCAGCATGTGTTGCCCAAATGAAGTAAGGATTCATCAAGGGCTATAAGACTAAACACATATCTCCAAAGTTTTTCAGTGCACATGAACTTCAGAAGGCTAAAGTTATTGAAGTCAGACAAATCTGTTCCAATGACATCTGGCAAACCTGTTCACCAAATATCTATCAAAGTACACGTTCGTCTAGTGCAGAGTATCAGATTACGTCGACTTACCAATCAACTAAATTTGAAGAATGTGGAATCAAGGAGAGATACATATCAGGGGGAGCATCCATGATAAATGCATGTTGTACTCTTTTTACTTCGATTAGGATTTTTCCCACTGGGTTTTTCCTATCAAGGTTTTAATGAGGCAACATAAGCATACATAACACTATATCAAGGTAAAGTTGTATTCTTTTTCCTTCGTTATGGTTTTTTCCCACTAGGTTTTTCCGAGCAAGGTTTCAATGAGGCAACTGATGTTGATATGTGGGCATCCAAGGGGGAGTGTTGTAGAATTAGTGGATGAATGCCCACTCAAAGGAATAAAGACTTGGGAATAGTATTTGATACTTTCAAAAGTGTCATCATTGTATTTGGATGATTGCTATTACGGGAGTTGCTCTATAAATAGAACACTCCGTGTACTATCAAAACACATTGCGAAAGAAAGAATCAAAGAAATAATATCAGTATCCCTCCCTCTCTTTGTCTGCTATCTTTTTGTGTTATAGCTACTAAAGTTATAGTGTGATATTTTGCACCCGCTTCGCTCCTGTCCCTAGCAAATGTTATTTCTCTAACTTTTGCCTATTTATAACAGTATTATATATTTATTTATATTTTTTATAAAATCATACATCTTTTAGTTTGCATAAAACTCTTAAATTCTATTCACTAATAGTTAAAACAATAGGTCTTTTTTTTTTCTCTTTACCTAACGACACTCATCCTAAAACTAAATTTAACTCTTATATTTTGTAAACAAGTCAATAACTCTTAAAATTAAAATCTAAAGTCTAATTTAGTTTTATCCAAAAATATTCTTTTAGATTGCCAACCAAAAGAATAATAAACTTTGAGCTTTTCCTCCTTCCCTTGTTGAATTTCATATGTTTTGTCCTCCAAATTTCCAACCCAAAACAATATTAAGGTTTGTAAATCTCTATGTTCTCTTTAACTTTTTACTAATAATATAGTCTAAAAACATGATCTCCCTAGCATTTTTCATTGACTTAATATTGGAAGGTTAATTTATTTTAATCCTCTTTAATTTTGATTAACAACTCTCTATATTGACTTGATATTGGAAGGTTAATTTTAACATGAAAAAAAGCATTTAGCGCCTAAAAGAAATTAATTAGCTCATAACTCCAAGCATGTATTATACGCTCTGGTAAACATTATCTTCTTTTTTTTTAACATTTAAGTGAGGTCCATCCTCACATAAAATCCTGGCTTCGCCACTACCTAGAGTTAACCTGTTGGAGATGGGAGCATGGCAAATCAAAATACAAACCAAACCCATAAAAATAACAGGGTAATGCTAAAAAGATTAAAGTTGTAGACAAAATTTTAGAAACTAAAAGACATAAAAGTTTATGATTGTTTTATTACGTAATTATTGATAAACGTGCTCATTTATATAGGTGATACATCATTTAGACCATCTCCAATGGCGATGCCAAATTATAAGAGTCAAATTACAATTGATGGTTGATTTGGCAATCTGAAGTCTTATTTCAAATTTTATACTTCTCCAACCGAACTATCAAATGTTATTTTATTATTTAAATAGAACTTTAAATGGTTGTAATTATTAAAAAAAAATGTTGAAACAAAATTTTTATTGGTTAAGATGTTAGTGGAATAAGGGACCCACCATTAAAATTAATTAAAAATAATTTTGACATTGATGTCAAATTTGACTTCAAATTCACTCAGCAAATAACATTTTGGTTAGAGAGACATTTGATGTCAAATATGTACAGTGACATTCCACCTAAGATTTTAACATATTTTTTGGAAATACTCTTAGTTTACAAATTTTATCTCCAATTTAGTTTCTCTCACACTACCCAAAATAATATTAAAAATAATGATTATTATAATAATAATTGAATGATAATATATTTAACATGGCTGATTTCATTGATTATTTTACATTTTTAGTGATGCTATTTATAGTGTTCTTCACTAATCACCTCAAACCACCAGTCCTAGTGCTAATCTTCACCATTCACTAATCTAGCAGGTGGAGTTTGCTGGGTTGCTACGTCCACCAGTGGGCCTTAACTCAAATAGAGAAATTTGGAAAAATAATCAAAATTTAGGCTCTATATAAAATTATAGTGACGTTTTTAAGTTTATGATAATTATAATTAAAAGTTGATATGAAAGTACTGATATATCCTTAAAATGAATTTTCCTATAACAACCAAGAAACAAAATCTTACAAAAACACTCAAAACGTTGTTAGTTTTCATTCTTAGGATTGAAAATACATGTAAGAACGCAAAATCCAACTGTCCATATATGTGTATTTTAGATTCCTAGAGTTTCTCACAAGGACCCAAAAGTCATATTAGTTGACATCTCTTCTCTCAATTTTTGTTACGTGGATTTTTTTATCTAATAGTTTTCCTGCTTTTACTTGTTTGTTCACATGTAAGTTCCATGCACTGCGTCGAGGGATGATAAGCCTTTCTCAAGCTTCTGCAAATGCAGCAATTCTACTTTTCTGGTGCAAATGAGAAGAGCAAAAAAACAAAAAAAAGCACACATGCATAAAGATATGTATGCAATAGAGAGAGAGCTAGAGTTACAAAGACAGTGGTGAGCTAGGCGCTAGCTTCGGTGGAGATGACGGTGGCTGCGGAGTTGATAGTGTCAACGCTGCTATCCATGATTGCTTGTGTGATCCCATAAAGCTCGTTGCTTTGCTTTTGGAGCTAAATTCCTCTTCTTTTTTTCTCAAACAAACAACTGTGGCGAAGATTGACTAAATGGGTTTCGAATACCCTGCTATGTGACCGGAGAACGATAGTTTTCTGGCTAGATTCGACTAACATGGCAGATTCGATCTGAATGAATATTTCTCGAACCTGAATTTTACAAATTTTCTTTTTGGTTTTATGGGAAAACTCATTTTAAAGGTATGTTAGTAGTTTCATGTAAAATTTTGGTTTTAATTATCATTAACTTAAAACGGTGGCTATAATTCAATATAGGGTTCAAAATTTGGTTAATTTTGCAAACGTCCCACTCAAACCACGCAAGGTGCTAACCTATATTTACTTGAAACATGAAAAGCACCTAGTGAAATGCTTTTAGGTTAGAATAATGAAGTTGTTATTGGAGCTTCAAAGTAGTCATTCTGCACTTGTTCTTAACACTGTTCTAAAAATCCCCGCCTAGCACTAGCGCTAAGCTGCTGACCATCGCCCCAATTAATGCTTAGACATTTGAAAATTAAGAAAGGGCACCTAAACCTAATGAGGCACATAGACATCTGCCTAGCCCGCCCAAACCCGCCTAGCCACTCGCTTAGGTTGCGACTCACTTAGACAGAAAATAAATAACTTTCATTTTGTAATTTATTTTTTTCAATAAATTATAAGCAACTTGCAGAATAGTTAAAATGCACACACACTATATGCTTGTTCCCCATGTTTTTATTATGTTCCAATACTTCATAATATATATGTCATTCTATTTTATGGTTTATGATGAAAATATATTTATTTTAAGTATAAACAAACACTTATTTATACGAAATATAATAGATTTACTTAAATCCGCCTAGTCCACTTAGGAGCCCTCATAGACCCCGCCTAGCCGCCTAAGCGCAAGGCCCCAACCCACCGTCTGCGTAGCGTCTATCGTCTTTTAGAACATTCGTTCTTAATCAAGAAAAATAAGGGTACGAGTGCAAATTGACTAGTTGAAGGAACTAAGCAACAATTCCCTGGAAGTACCCAAAAAAAAAAAAAAATCACAGAAACAATCAGTTGGAGGTGAATGCGTTTGCGTGTGTTTAGCATGGCACAAAAAATCACAGTAGTGATTTTTTCAGAAGCAGCCTGGGGAAGTACCTAGCAAATGTACAAGCATCAATGTTGTCTTAAGTTCAAATATCGCAAAAAAAATATAGAAAACTTCAGCTAAGCACCTCTGTATGCTTAAATATTAACGGAGTCAGTATGCCTTTTATAAGGGGAGAAGCCATGGTGACCCAAAAAAAGCAACTTATATGTATATATGTATAGTATTAATAAAAGACAGAACGTTGAACATGTATAACACGAATCTACATGCCGATCAACTCAATCAAAACCTATCACCAACTCGTCGTTATATACATAAATAATCTGAAAAACCAATATGAACCTTCCATCACCTTCCATCCTCCATTACACTAAACGACCCCACCACCAGCAAACGGACCAGTAATTTGATGCCATTTATATGACAAGGGAGAGAACAAAAATCAGCAGCACACATATGGCCAGGCTCACCACAAGAAAACAAGGAAGAAACTATACTCTGAAAAAACAGAGAACAAAGCGTTCACCTTTCTTGTTTGGAAACTAACCTGCCATTGTGGACAACGACTCTGACTACTATCCCCGTCTTCAGTCACTATTTTAACCCATGTCATTCATTCTATCATTCATAATACTTTGCTCTAAGATCTAAGATGTATGCACTACAAATAGAAAATCGAGTTCAATACTAATTTCATGCCAGTGTCAACTCTAACCCCTCTTCCTTTTCATTATCATTGAGTTGAAAGGAATCAAATGCACGAGGGCACTGCATTTGAACGAGCATAGCTCCACAAACAAAACCAAAAACCAACCATATCTGTGACTGGCACCTAACCGTGAGCACAGAATAGGAGGAAATAAAAACCTTCGTGCATTTGTAACCTCGGCATCTCAAACCATACTTCAAAATGGAGAGAACTGGACTTCAATTGCTGGATGATACTAGATTGGAGGCTCAAATATCATTTCCTGCATCATAAGTGAAGAAGAGGCCTCTCAGTATTGTGGGTGACAATGGATCTCTTCTCTTAAATCGCAACATAAGGAAAATATTAAACAAGGCAAACCTGATCACACACAGGACATGTGTCACTTCGTTCCATCCATTCAAGAATGCAAGCAAGGTGAAAATGATGATCGCATTTTGTGGTAATTTTTGGATTTTGTGGATCATACTCTGCAGAGAAGAAAGGAAATGATCTAGTAACTGAATGTGTCACATATTTAGAGGCAAGCGGAAAAACAAAGAGTGCAGTTTGAATGGACAACTTCAAGCAACAATGTCGTTGATCATAAGAAATTAAATGAAGGAACTTCCTCTTTAAAAGAAAGATAACGGTTTAATTATACAATTCTAGAATGGTTGAACCAAGGACTTTACCTTCCAAACAGGTGGGACAAAGATCCTCTTCCTCCATTGTTAAAGTAATAGATTCCACTGATTTCGCAAGTTCAACTTCTGACTTCTTCAACGGATCAAGTTCTGAATCAGTTTGGGCTTTGCAGTCCGCACCCTTCAGGTCTTCACACTTGGGTGAAACTTCTCGGGTATTTCCACCAACTGCTTCTTGAACAGAATCAGAATTTGTTGCTGTCTGCAATGCTGATTCACTCTTGCTGCCACAAATCTCTTGCACCGATGGTGGAGTATGAGGATCCTCTATAGCCACATCATATGGAATAGGGGCAGGAGGTGGTCTATAAGTGTCAGGTATTGATGTATCCAAATTTGTATCAACTAGGAGCCCAGTAGAGACTGCAGAGGCACCTCCTTGGCGAGACGATAAAGGAACATGCTCATCCGATGTCCTTGGAAACTGCATTGTAATTCAAATTCACAAAAATATGAATAACAAGAAACAAGATAAATCACAAAATCAATTTCACTGCCAACACACTGATTTAAAAGACTGAATTCATTAATCAAGTCAATTATCAAAGGCCAAATCCACTTAAAACATTCACAAGAAACAAATAACCCCACAAAATGTTTTTAACAAAAGCGACGCAACTCAACACTAATAAATAGAAAAATAAAAAACAGTATTTAGAATTTAGAGCGAGTGAGGGAAAGCATTCTACTTACGTAATAGTATGTTGGTGCAGCATTTAGCTCCGTTCCTTTGGAAGAACAGCAGCAGCAGCCTCCCATTGTCTTCTTTTACTTATTATCTCTGCTGTGGAGAACTCGAGGCACTTGGTGCCACATATCCCTTAAACATAAAAAACGAAAAGGACGTTGTTGGACGACTGCAATAAGATTAACAATTTGCCCAAAATAAACAAAAAACCTACAATTGATGATTTCAAACCCCATGACCAATAACTACGATTCAAGTCTTGACACCCGCGGATTAAACCAACTGTTCAAACACAATAGACCCTAAACACGTTCCTAGTGATATTAGTACAAAACCCCCACCATGTTAATTACTGCAAAACCCAACAAACCCATCATATTAGCAGCAAAACCCAATTCATGGAGCTTAAAAAATAATTAAAAATTAGTGAAAATCCAAACTTCTCCGCAACCAACACCCAATTCTATACACTTCGAGCAATTATCACGAGTAAAACAGCATCAAATTATCATGGAAGCAACTAAAGCAATCAAATTATACAGAGACAACAAACAGCATCAAATTATTAGGGAAGCCATAAACTAAAAGCCTAAGCAGTCAATACCAATACACTTTTAATAAGGAAAAAAATACATGATCAGCCGAAAAGTCTCAAAACCAATGAATTAAAAGCAGAAACAAAAAATCGAACAGGATTTCACAGAAAAACTCTTGAAAAATCGATTAAAAAAAAAAAACAAAGAGGAAGAAGAAGTAAAAAATATCAATCCGAATTTAGCAAGGGTTTGAGAATTTTGAGTACCTTTTTGTGGATTGAAGACGCTTCGATCGGAATCGAAATTGGAATTGGGGATTTTAGAGGAAGGGAGGGAGTGAGTGGAGAGAGAGAGGGTGGACTTGTTGGGGAGCGTATTGGAGGGGAGAGAGAGAGAGAAAGTGGCTTTTCTTTTCAGGGGGAATAAAACAAAAATACTAAATTAATTAATTATGCTGAAAATTATGAAATATAATAAAGAAATACATTTTGTTGCAATTTTGGTATGGGTTTGTTGATTGTTGTTATACCAATATTCACAGGTGGCAGTGGCATATGGAAAAACCAGTTTTTGGGCTTTTTTGTTCAAAGCCCACTAGTAGGTTATAAATTAATTTTGAGCCTAAATCCCTTACCATTTCAAATCCAATTCGGTCTCTTTTGTAGCTCGACTCAAGATCTAACCTCGTGATCTTTTTCTCGATACAACGCTATTGAGCAGTGGAAAATTTGGTTAAGTCACATTGCATCATTAATAATCACTCACCATGTAAAAGCCGAACCCAAGACTAAAAATATTACTAAAACGATACGGCAAAGATTCCTACGTGAGTCACTCGCACGTATATACTCATACGTATGCTTTTTTGAAATACATGATCAATACCGCACCTAAAACCATAATTATCTATACAATTTAGGTTTGATTAGTCCTACTTCCACCAATGCTTTTCCGTAGTTCAAAACTGTAAACAAGAAATAAAGGCACTACGTCTCAGCAATCTACACCAGTAAATAAAGAACCTGAAAAAACATGATTGGAGAAAAACTCCCTCTCGTGGTGCAAAACCGCGCTCTCTCTCTCTCTCTCTCTCTTCTCACGTAAGACCATGTCCTATCACGTGATGAGAGAGAGAGAGAGCTGGGGTTAGCAGCCAGAATGGATAAGTTATTCGCCCTCGGCATTCTGCACATTAGATTTTGTACAAACCATATGCTTCTAAAACCAAGCACATCATATAATACTCAAATGGCAGATATAATGATGAGATTAATACCTAATACTGATATAGAACAACTTAGGTATGAGCCCTGTATTACAAAGTTAGGATTCAAGGGATCGATGTCACCGTACTAAATCTGATTAAATCTGACCTAACGGTTAGGTTAGTAGATACATATGTATATTATTATACAACCATATTTCCTTTTTTTGACGTTCACATTTCTCGTTCTGCTTGTTTCCACTTCCGACACCCGGCAGCATCGACAAATTCAGTGACCACCGATACCTCATCCAATGGCATCTGCAACCAAGAACAATAAATAAGACGCAGAGGATTCTATTTGTGCATTCAAAGCACATATGTAATTTTCTGTGTGCAGAAACATGAGAGAGAGAGAGACCTGCTGTGATGAAAAATGTCGTTGTGCAGCATTGATCAATTGTTCCCTTGTTGGATTAGAATTGCCGCTTAACTACAATTTCAAATTGCAAGAGCAGGATTTAGTCGAATGATTTCACAACCAGGCAGAACAAACAAACGAAGAGCAGGAATCAGCGATACCCACAAGATTGAAGTGTCTGCAATACTTCCTCAATGAGCTTGTTCCTAGTTTTCCCAAGTTTACTCTCTGATCATCCACACAGAAGATTAGGCAACACAATAATGGGTGTACATAGAAATTCGGAAATTCACACCGCATTAAGTGTAGAAGGATAACTATATATCAGAGCATGACCATTCAACTTAGCCAGAAAATGTGTCATCTACTAGAACCATTGGAGTGACCGATGCAAGCATATTGAAGCAAAGTGTTTGTTATTATTTGAGTAGGAAATCATAAGCAAAAGCGTTCTATCCAAAGGCGTTAAAGCAGTACACTCCCAATTCATAATTTTTTATTACTAACAAAATTTACAGCATTGTTTTTAAATAAGTGAAAACATATTGAGGAGACTCATTTAGTAGACAGGATAAATTTTCAATGACAAACATGAACACCCAGATCTCACTTTCCAAGTTACTTACCGATTGGGGTGCTTGGATGTATTGAACTTCTCTATAACTTCCGCGATTTACTGACTTCGTTGCTGAGGGTGGAACATATGGCCTTGAAAATCGAACTCTTGGTTTACTATGCTTATGGAACTCAAAGCATCTAGCTGCCAAAAGAAATACAATGATAAAAATTAGATAGAAGCTCCAAACAAATGCCAAACAAAAATATCGTAAAAAGAGCAACCCAATACACAAGGATCCCATCGTCAAGATCTGAAAAGGGACAGATGTAAAGTCGAATCCCTCATCCCCTAGAGGCTGTTTTCCCGTTTTGAGTCCACAACCTCCAGGTTGCAATGTAAAAACCTTAGAAATGACTAAATTGATGCTTCATCAGGTATGGTTTATGCAACTTACAGAAATCATTCTCCTTATCACCATGGTCAGAGATGCCGCTAGAGTAATCAAGATCGCTATCTTCCTCATTCCCTGTAGGATGTTCCAGCACACTCAACGCATTCCTTTGCAGCTTAACTTCAACTCCATTTTTCAGAACCTTGTATCGCCAAAAATTAACGGTTTAAAAAATAAATCCCCACAATGCAGAACAGGATACTGAAGTGAAATTATAAGATAAATCATCCACAAGTAGTAATAACAATGAAAATCCATACTTGAGACTCAAGAATTGAAAGAATTAGTATAATAACAAGCCCTAGATGGCAATGATAAGAAGGATTACATAAATATACTTAATTCAAAAAGCTTAGGTTATGATCTAAACAAAATCACAACCGATAAACTGAACCCCAGAACAGAATTTCTGATACAAAATATCCAAAATTACATTCGACATGATTGCTTATATGATGCAAGAAGATAAAAAAAGAATGAGAGAAAAATCCAGAATCCCGCCAATGACAACGCACTCGGAAAAGAACTACAAATTCCAGTTGTCCCCTGCAAGAAACTTAAAACCCTATGATATTCGTAAAATTGGTAGGAAAACGTACAAAGTGAGGATAGGTTGCTTATTGGGCCTCAATAAAAACCTTGCCAGGGATTTCAACCCAGAAGAAGGGAAAAAGAGTGTCCTGCACATACAACTAAGGAACTATCCTCACAAGATACAATGAAACCCTTATATTTGTCTGAAATGCGAAACCCCCAATTGTTCTCACAGCAGGAAACAACGAAGCACATGAAATGTCGACTAATGCCTAATTTTGTGGGTCATCCCATAATTTTAGAAAGATATGCCCTTTCCAAAGAATACAACATAAACACAATTTTTTTTTAATGCAAGCGATGTTGGGGAGAGGTAATGAAACTCGGAACCTTGCTCTTAACAAACCGACCTACAAGTTAGTTTCACAAACACAACTTTTATAGAATAGAGAAAAATGACTAAAAGCCCAGCTTTTCCTTTCCCAACAAAAACAACCAAAATTATCAACAAATCCACTTGGGAGCAAAATTTGGCAAAACAGTTAAAAAATAAAAGCAATTATGGTAAACAAGTCCACAAAAACCAAATTAAGAAATAATTAAATGAAAACAAAATAATTTAGAAAAAGTGAAAAGGAAGAATACCAGCCAGTGCCAACCCCCAAGCCCAACAGCTTTCTTGACCACGCCTTGAAGACCCACCAAAACAGACTTTGTTCTGTTGTTTCCAGTGACAATAACCTTGGTGTGCCTGGGAAGAACTGAAAGTTCCTCATCTCCGCTTTCGTCCCGAAAAGGCGATAGCATCCGAGAACCACAGAGCTCTGGCTCCAGCATTCTTCCCAGTTTTGATAAAAAACTAGAGCTTCTACTAAACCCAATCAAACAACCAAAACCAAACCGCTCCACAGTCCAATACCCAACTTCTGAATTCAACAATTTGAGATACAAAAACCCATTTTTTAGATCCTAAAGGCCTTTTCCTCAAATGGGTTTTGCTTACATTACTACTAAAATTTCCCAGACAGATTCATGAACCAAATTAGCCAAGAAAATCCAACCTCCAATTCTGATCCCTGTGGCAGAAAGACAAATGAAGACCTTATGTTATAAATAAATCCAGAGACATGCAGTGATTGGAATTAATTCTAGAGGGAGGGACACAGAGAGAGAGAGAGAGAGAGAGAGAGAGAGAGAGAGAGAGAGAGGCACCTTTCTTCTTTATGAATGTGTGTAATTCTTGAGCTCTGACACGAAATCTTGAGGGAAATCTTCAATGCAAAACAGACAGAATTTCAATCACTGCTTCACGGGCAACGATTGATCACATTAAATGAAGCACTATTTGCTTCAGATCAAAGATTTATGCTTTTCATCAAGCTTCACTCTGCATGCAAAACCTGAATCAATATATACACACACATATATTGGATTAGTTTTCTCACACTTTCTGCATTGAATAAAATTTTGGAGCGGATTTTTATTTACGAAAATTCATCAGAAACAGCTGAATTTTTTTCTGAAAGATAATAACGATAAGAAAAATCTATTTACTTCTATGGTGAAAATACGTCAGCACTCAACCAAGGCAAATCCCAAAACATTTGTTTGGCAGCTGCGAAAGTGTCAGAAATAAAAAGTTTTAAATTTCTTTTGGCCTATTTAAAAACTGAATAAAAATTATATTTAAACAACCCCCACTTAACTGAGCTAATCAGACAAAGGGTACAGAAAACCATCATGATTAAATAAAGCACACAAGAAAAACAGGCACAAAATTTTTGATTTGACTGTTTGTGCCCCCACTTTCTGGAACTTTTTCATTTTTTTTTCAAAAATAAGCTCAACCATGCATCAAAATTTGTTAACAACAATGGATTATTACAACTTAATGACAGTACAACCAGTGAAAATTACAAAAAACAATCAAATAATTAATCCCAATAAACCCCAAAAGAATAAAATAATACTAACAGTGAGGGAGCTGCTAAAATAGCAACTTTTGGAGCTAAATTCAGCAAAGATATGAGCTTGAACCAGTAAAAAATTGCAAATGGCTGAGACACGAAATGTGTCGAAAACCCAACTGGAAAAAATAAAAAAAAGCACAGAAAAAAGTGCATTACCTGTTTGGTTGTCGAGAAAATAACAGGAAGCTCTGAGAAAAACCCAGATGACAAAAAGGTACCCAAGACAGGATTTTGAATAATATGGAGTGATCCTGAAGATTGTGGAGAAATGGATGATTTGAAGATTGTGAAAATGCAGAGGCGTTTTCTGAGAGTGAGTGAAAAGGATTGGAATTTGCTGATGGAGAGAGAAAGTAGAGCAAGGGGGAAGGAAGGAGCACACTAAATGCTTACCAACTGTCAATGGAACGACCTGCCATTTGCCGTACCGCCATGCCTTTGTAACCGGTGGAACCGGGTATAGCCGGTTGAAATTATAGGCTCCGGCTCGGCTAGGTTTTGTGAGCCGGGTGGTTTTGTCGTGTAGTGGGAGATTTAAGGGCGTGGCCCAAACATCGTGTAGGTTGGCAAAAAGTGAAAGGTTCTGAAAAAATTAGAAAAAAACTGAAACTGAAGTCTGAATTGAAATAATTCGGTTTCCTTTTACAAATTGAAAAAATCGAACCAAATATTAATTTCGGTTTGGTTTTCAATTTTGACTACAACCGAATCAAATCCACTCACAAATATTAAGAAAAATTAATAAAAAATAACTTGAAAATTTTGAGTTTTAATAATAAGGATAAAATAAAGTGCAAAATAAATAGTATCGGAATTGACTTTTTAATGTAAAAATATGATTTTTCGTTACAGTAAACAGTATTGGGAACTTTTCGTTAAAGTTTCTTAAATATTATAAGATCCTTGTAAATTTTGAGGAAATTGGAAGTGAGAGATTCAACCCAAAAAATTGTTAGTCACTTTTTTAACTCCAAAGAAATAGAAATTTATGTTGGTCAAAAGTAAAAGGTTGTGAAATTCTACCCAAAGGGTTTCTATTTATTCAACAGTTGTCGTCTATGAAATTTAAATTAAAGCTCGGAATGTAGCCGAGGGTGGCAGTGTGAGCAGCTGAGAGAAGCCAACCTACTAAGCCCACAAACTAGGAAAGCCCCGAAAAAAATTTACCTTATATATTAATACTACATAAATATGCAGAAAACAACCTATGTATCAAAAACTAATAGCATGTTTTTTGGTAACATGTAGCTCCTCGTGTTTTATAAAAGGGTTTGTCCCCCAATCTTCAGGTCTTAAATTCAACAAACTAATTTTTCTTCTTGAAAAATTGAATGAAATGATCAATCTACAAATCTCAATTGCTAAAATGATTGATTTTGCGTTAATGTTTATTCGATCTGTAGTCAATGTTTGAATTGTATTAGTTCAACTAGGGTTGCGAAAATGTGACGACCCGTCCCAAGTTATTACATATATTTTCTCCCCTAGTGTGTAAAGTGACGATATTACCCTCGTTGGCTAAGTGACGTGGATGTGTATATGCAGTTTTAAATTATTATTTCCGCTGTCATTATTAAATTGTACTTGACATCGCGAGCGCGTCGACGCGAGTTAGGGCCGAATCGGATTCGTAACGAAAAAGTTACGATTAATTGAATACGTAAACGGGTAAATCACGAACCAATTATATTAGCTCCTATTACCTTTAAACCAATCAAATTTTGGGCTTTTATTTTTCTTTGGGCCAATTGGAACTCTATCTCTCTCTCACAGCAGCCCAATCAGAAAATATTATTTTCTAATCCGACCAATCACACACACAGACACATACACGTACACTATCTTTCTCCTTCTCGACTCTTCTCCTTTCTTCTTCCTTCTGCATCCGAGACACCCCACATGCACAAACCACACCAAAACAACACGAATTGAACCTACGAAGACTACCATCACACTCCTTGCAAACTTATGAACCTAGCCCTACCCTTAGGTTTTAGTTTTGGTGAATTTTGACCATCGACTCACGAGCTCCAACGCGATCCCGGAGTGGTTTCGAGGTTTTAAGGCTTGGAAAGGTATCCATGCAACTTCCCTAACACTTTGGAGTAGTTTTGGAGTGAAGCGGACGTCAGTATAGGCAAGTTTGGAAAGTTGCAGAATTGACTGGATTTTCCAAGGAATTTTCCGACCGCTTTTTGTAGGATTTTGAACTCCTAATGGGTACGAAAGTGTTTTACTCTTCAAGACCTTCAAATCCATATAAATTTCATGGATTTTGGTTAAGAAATGAAGTAGATATTAAGCTTTGAAATTTTTCCAGAAACCGGCAAACCAGACTACGGCCAGCTGCGGTGGATGCCAGAGACCGGCGTGATCCACTGGAGAAGAAGAAGAATATTCTGTCAAAGTTGATGAAATATTCTAACAGTGTCAAGTAACACCGTTAAAATTAATGGAATATTCCTAACGCCGTTAGAGTTTCTATCCCATGTGCCAGGCACGTGCTGGCGCGTGGCCGGTGCGTGTGGTCGTGCCTTGGCTGGCACGTGAGGGTGCGTCCAACATCCAAAATTTTTATAAAAATATAAGGGTGTTCGTGTTGTCGAGTAGATCACGTTGGTATATTCAAATACCTCATTTGAGCAACGTATGAGGAATTAATCCTAGGCTTTGTTTATGTGCTAATTAATTAACGTAAAAATCGTTGTATTGCATATAGGTGAGACATACCCCGAGAACGAGCGTGGACAAGCAAAGTTAGGCTCCTGCTACTTATCAATGAGTGGGCATTAATATATATATATATATATTTATTTATTTATTTATTTATTTATTTATTTATATATATTTATATACAGTTTTCAGAAACATTTTTATATGGAACTATGCTTTGCTTTCCATGTCGTAAATAAGTTACATTTTAAATATTGCATTGTTACACTTGTGAATTGTATTATGTGATGTTGCAGAGACTCAGGTAAGCTTCAGGTGAGTACTATGTGATTGAATGGGTTGTATTGCATTGGTATGCACACATTTATTTAGAGTTCATCATGGCTACACCCCGATATTAGTGCTCCCGCCCGGGGCTAGGGCCAGCCTTCATATAATTGTTCACCTCCCGCACCACACGCTCACCTTGAATCCAAGTCTGGTGCCAGCCTGTCGTACAGACCACAATAGGTGGTTTTGACTTGTAGGTGATCCGCGAATTATCGCACAGCCTTCACGTGATTGTAACACTTGAGCGTACATATTTATACCCAGCCTGTTGTACAGGTCACACTAGGTGACTCCAACTCATGTGCTAGCCTAGATTGATGAGTTATAGGTCCAATCGTACAGGTCACGTTAGGTGACTCGAACTGGCATACTATTTTATATTGGTTTCACACCTGGCTTACATTTATTATTGCTCAGATATCATGACATGGCATACTTCAGTTTTCACTGCTCTTGTGCATTGGTTTTCATACCTACGTAGTAGTATTTTCTGAAAACTATACGGGTTTTACGATGAGGGGTTATTATGTTCATAAAGATAAATACGTTTTCAAACGCTTTGTTTTTGCCCCCTCACCCTTTTGTTTTGCGTCCCTCCAGGTTCTAGGTAGCTGTTCATCCTTGGTGGCTCAAGAGGACTACACGGCGGTTCTGACGTTCTACTAAATAAAAGTAGGGATCTTCTCCCTGTTTGTATAATTAGTACTTGGTTAGTTCAATTGCACTTTCGTTTTACCTATGCTTTGATATGCATTTATCTTATACTTGATCACTTTCATACTCTTACATATTATCTCTAGTTAAATATGTTTTGTTTTGTTTTTTTATTTATTCGCATTTTCTTATTATTATCACTTTTGTTACGCACTTGACTACGTCACCCTCACGTGACGACCAACATGTCTCAACTCCGGTCGAGGTGTGTCAGAAAATTACTGAAATACCCAAACCAAAAAAACCCAAACCCAAACCAATTAAAATCGAAACTGAATTATGCCGAAAGTCAAAATACTAAAATCGAATAAATATTCGGTATGGTAATCGATCTCCATATCCCTTTTTTCAGTAAAAATTGAATTGAATTGACTAGAGATTTAATATAATTGTATATATAGTTGAATTAATATTAGCCATTGGTTGAATCTCAACTGTTCGTTTAAACTCAACTTTCTCCCTCTCTCACAGCTTCTTACTCAAATTCACACACACACCCTTCTCGCTGTCTTCCTCAATCCTTCTTGATCCTTTTCGGTATCACCACTCACCACCACACTCCTTCGGCTTGCATAAACTCTCTCTTCATCTTGACCAACCACCACCCATTCCTCTATCAAGTAGTCGTTGATCTCATCTCTCTCTTCATCTGCCTACCAACTAGATGAGAAACCCTTTCGTTTCAGTCGTTGACGTAGAGCTCCGTCAATTCTCAACCAGATCTCTCGATTCAATCGTTAATGTTCGTCTGTCTCTCCCCTTTATCTCCCTCTTTTAGAATTAAGGTTTTAAATTTTCGAACTGGGGGATGAATTTCACAATTGGAGGATGATTTTTTAGTTGGGCCTATTTTTTTTTTTTTTTAAATGGAATTTTGGTTTCCTAAACCCGAAAAAAGAAATCCAAAAATTTGGGGATTACCAATTTTCAGTTCTTGATATTTTTTTTTTCTTATTCTGATGTTTTCAGTTTAGTTTTCGGTAACCATTTTTCGGGTTAATTACCAAACCAAAACCAGATCTAAGTTTTTTTTTTTTAGAAGGGAGAAATTAAATTAAAAAGCAAAGCCTCTAGGGCATCCATTACAAACAAATATAAAAGAAGATGCACTCAGAAACTGCATTGATCCAAACATGATCATAAGAGAAGGATCAAACAACCGAAAGTGACAAGAGTATCAGCAATAAAATTAGCTTCATGAAACACATGGGCAAAGTGGATGTCTTCAAACCAACACTTGAGAGAAGTAATGTCTATAAAAAGGATTTTAAGCTTCCAAGACAACGTACATTTTGAAAGCACAACATCGATGATTAATTTAGAATCTCCTTCCACTAGAACTTTTGAAAATCCAGCTCTCCTAGCATGCACCAGACCCATCTGAAGGGCCATATCCTCAGCCGTCATCACACTCGCATGGCCAAGAGAAGCAGTAGCAGCAAGAGTGAGACCATTGGAGTCTCTTAAGCAATCTTAGCAACTTGGTATGGGTGGGGATTGGTGTTTCTGTTTCCGGAAATCAAGTTATTTTTAAAAGCCTGAACTTGCCAACAAGTGAGGAAGGTTTTACAAAAATATTGCTTAGAAATATTAGGGGGAAGGTTCCAACTAGAAGGATTTAACATCCAATCAAGCAGAGGTTGATAGGGAGGAAGCAAA